ATGGTTAAATTCAACTAACACCATGACATAATGCTTAAAATGTAACTGTGCAATGTTAGTATTGTGTTCAACGTATCGTATAATCTATACAGAATTTATCTTACCAGAGTTTGTTGCTGGGAAATTAAATGCTATCATTCTCCTAGTGGTCGTATTACCCCTTTTAGCCCTTTGAGGACGGTGGGTGATATTTGTCCCACCTATTTTTCAGTACAGAAAATGTTTGTTCTATGTTAAACTGTTACAATCTTTAAGGTAAATAGGTCGCCTATCTGCCACCTAATGCAGGTCTTTTCTCTCTTTCTTCCTGCCATATAGATCTTCTCAGATGTCCTCCTTTCTTCCTGCTACTATATACTGACGCATGATTTCTCTCTTTCTTCACTCAATACATTATCATCAGGTTTTTATCTCATCATTTGAAGCCAAATACAACAGTCTGATTGAAGAACCATTTTTCGATTGAAAAAAAATCCCGTCCTCAAAGGGTTAGCAATTGACATTATTATTTTGCAAGTTTTTGCTGCAGTTAATACAGAAAGTTTTTGTTATCGTGTAAAGTCGCTCATTAGCGTGATGATGTGTCGTTCATTACAAAGTCTCCAAGTTTTTCGATTGCACAAGCCTTCACCCCATGCATACAAGATTTGTAAATATACGACGCAGTGAAAAAAAAGAAGTAAGAGTAAGTTTTGATAGAATATGGTTGTAAAAGTGGTGAGCCATATGAACGAATTGCGTTGTCACTGGAACAAAACATCACCGCGTGATTGATGATTTATTTCAAAGTAACTATAGGGAAAACAATTGCAATACTTTCCGTTCTCTCTTTTACAACAAATAACCAAAAGGTAACTATTGTATTATGACATTAACACACGAGCACATTTGTCAATAAAAGGAAGCACTCATCGAACTTGACAAGAAACAATTGTAAGCCTTAACAATTTAAAGAAAAAGATGATGGTCGATCTGTAACAATTTAGAGAATTGGTTGAAACCTTCAAGAAGAAAATGGACGAACTCCAACAAAAATTGAAAATCAACGTCAACTTTGATATAGTGCACAGGATGATTCTAACTATCCTTCACTATATAAAAACTGATCACACTATCACGTGATCGTCATGAAGACGAGATTTTGATTTCGTGTTACGTACCAACGAACAATATCTCACAAATATCAATGGACTATATAGTGTTAAAAGTCTGTTAATGTCATTTGGTGTTTATTGATTAGTGCTACAATGAGTTCATATCTGTATTTTTTCTGTCAAATTTTGAATGAATTTGGAAGGATGAAAAACGGTATGCTGCAACTGTATCATCCATAAAAACTAAACAGATCCATTGTTTGATATAGAATTTCTTTATTAGTGTATTAGAGATTATGGACGATAATCTGACGAAAACCAGATCATTCTAGTCCATCTAATATTTGAGATATGAGCAGAAATAAAAATAAAATAATCTAATGGTTGAATAATTTTGACAACTATTTTATGTCTTTCAGAGTTTTGTATATTTGTAAGATGCGAGAAATTCAAAATCATAATAAGAGTTTTCTTTTAGCTTTTTTGTACATGGTATGATAGCGAGTATGTCAACTACTCTGAAAAACTAGTTTTTCATGTTTCTAAAAATATTCGTGATGAAGAAACGGTATGATGGAAAAAGGCAGAAAAGAAAAATATCGAAAGGGAAAAATGTCGAAAATAAAAATATCGAAAACAAAAATAATACAAATGTAGATGAATAGAAATGCTGAAAACGAGAGTATATTGAAGTACAAGTCTCCCTCACCCTCAATTCAATCTTACATGTTCATTTTCATCTCATATTCTTGTTTTCGACATTTTTATTTTCGATATTTTTCCCTTTCGACATTTTTCCTTTCTGCCTTTTTCCATCCATTCGAAGAAACATTCTGAACAATGACATTCCCTATTTGTGAGTGAAATAGGCTGATTTTATAATACATGCTAAAGTTTTTATTTGTTATTATTTTTATTTTTCTGAACTGATTTCTTTCTTATTGATCGAGTAAAATTGGCTATAGAAGGTTGTACTTCCCACAGTTCAAATAAGCTATGACCAAAAAAATTTGACTCCGAGTGGAATCGTGAAAAAAACCGCCATTTAATTTTACTAACCTATCTAACTTTTTCTGCTTGAGAAGTAAAAATATTATTTCTATGGAATTAAAATCAGCATCCCTGTGAGCAAAAGACTATGAAGGATTTATTGAAAATACTACTCTATTGTTCTACAAATAAAAATTTTCTATTTCAATGGCACAGTCGTACAAAAAAAAACATACTCGTATTGATTAGTTTTGACCAACCCATTTCATCCACAAATAGGCAATATTTTTGTTCAGAACGTTTCTCTATTACGAGTACTTTTAGAAAAATGGAAAACTAGGTTTTTAGAGTAATTAATATACACTCTATGCAATGGTGTACATGAAAAAAAAAACAATCTTACTATGATGATTAATCCCCTGTATTGACAAAACAAAATTGTTAGTTTTTTTTTTTTGTGTGATGTTTTTTTGTTTCTTTTTTTCCAACTGAAAGAACATCGAACTCAATTAAAATGTCGGAGGTAATGACAAAAACTTTGTATCTATGTTGGAAATAAGTTGTATTTAACAAACGATTTGACTTTTATTCTGTTCCTAAATGTTTTATTGAATCATAGTCAATGTTGGAAGGTAACCGAGGCGACAGCTACAAACATTCGTAGAGAACGAAAAAATTTTACCTGGCTTTATCCAACTCACAATATTTTTTTTATCTATGGAAAGATCCAACAAAAAGTTAAATCTTTTTCGTTTGTACATTATTTAGTAAATGTCAACTACCGTTTTCATCATCATCGTCTTCTTGAGTCACACGAAGATCTATCTACGTCATCATTCATCTATAAATACTATGGAAATGTTCCATAGATAAGGTCTCATTGCTCACGTGAAGAATCATCATTATACGATAAAGGTAAGTTACTGTTGATGAGCATTTATTTTTTTGGAATATAATAATGAGAATACTTATGAATGCGACACAAAAATAAAAAAGAAACGACATTCGTTGAGATCTTATTCCACGATCTAATAATCCAAGTTGATTAGGTGATGAATATATGTCGTTGGCAAAATTAGAATTCAACTAAAGATAAAATTTATACAATCAAAACAATTAGAATCTGAACAAAATAGCTATTTCTGTTTTCATTCAACAAATATCTTTTCAGTTCATTAAATAACTGACAAGAGAAAACATTTTCAATCTATCCACCCATATTTGTACATTCACTTCGTTTTTAATGCTATTTTATCGAATAAAAAATTTCCTTTTTTTTTACACGAACCTTGCTTTTTAGAGTATTTTCTCTGACAATCGAATGTGTAATCAATTTTCGAATCCGTTTGAGATATTTTGTTATTAGATTGTAACACGCACACCTACAGTTATATTGCTTCTCATTCCAATCTACATTTAGTAAAGAACGTAATTGTTTGAATTTATGTCTCGTCGAAATCAAATTTTGTCTAAAAAATATATTAATGCCTTAAGAAAACTCGAAGATTCTATTCCTGCAGAGTGAATTTTTTGAATATTGAATCTCAAATCTTTCATAGAGTTTATTGTTGAATTTCAAGTGTCAACAAATGTTTCTTAACAAAAAAAAAGAAAATCAGAGTTTATAATCTAAGCATAAAAATGGGAATTTTAGGATTTCAATAAAGTAAATAGCGATTTATAAATTAGGGAAAGTAAAACAACTTTTTACAACAAACCAAAACAAGAGTCTTCAATTTATTCGAAGAATTTCTTAGAGCACCTGGATTTTGCAAGTTTTAGCCGCAAGTAAAGGTTGCGATAAAGACTTCAGTTAAATTTTGTATGTTGCTTAGGGAAGTCATTTCGTAAAACGTATTAATCAAAACATAATTCACCATAGATGGTAAACAAGTATCACTTGTCAACTAGATATATCAGAAAATGAATATTCGAGAATATTTTTACATGGCATTTCAATAAATTCTGAAATTTTTTTCTCAATTAGGACTGAGACTCGTTCAGATTTATTGGAGCTACAATAGGGACCACTAGAAAGGAAGATAATGGACCTGATCAGCACTACATCTAAAAGCCTTCCTCCTGCACATCTCTATTCGCAAGACTTTAGTTTATTATCTTCTATTCATAGATAGATATGGAAGATCAGATCAATGTTTGATTACAGAAAATATTTTGAATAAATACATTTCATTAAATTTAGAACAATTGATCATGGATTCCAACAACGAAGATTGTGGTTACCGCTACAATAGAAAGGCATTTGATGCTGCTGATGTTGATAGTCGTGAGTAGATTAATTAATTATCTATATAGAACTATGCTTTATATCTTTATTTAGAAGCTAACCAAATGATATCAACAACAGATAACAATGTAAGCATATTTAAAATAACAGATGAATCTCATTTTTATTTTCTATTCAAAGAATGATCAATCGTCGAATGATTCAAATCACAACCGTACTAAAAATGACGCGAATACTACTTAACAAGTTAGAATGATCATAAACTACAACTAAAAATGAGCTGAATCATCTATTATAAAAACTAATCACGATAAACAGAAATCAAAGCGAAAAAGTCTCGATACAAAGAATGTATATGTATATTATAAAAATAAAAATAAAAATAAAATATCCTAATAACTAATATTTTCAACTAAATAACTCATTGAATGAAGGTATTCATTTGAAAATGAATTTGTTTTATTCAGACATGGGAAAAACACGAGGTAAACAAACTTAGCTGAAAAAAATATACAATAAGAATTTTTCTACATATTTTATGTTATGATGTTCGAAATAAATGACATACTCTTTATTGTCGTTCAAAAAGTCGGTGTTAATAGGTATTTTCAAGGTAAGACATAAATATGGGTTAAGAAGTTATCGGATTTGAAGGTATAATGTTTCGTTTATTCGCTATTATTGTTACTTTCATCACCATCGTCATCAAATTCATCGGCGTCGTCGTCATCTTCGTCGTCATTTTCATAATTACTCTCGTCATCCTCAATGTCTTGATCATCATCGTTTTCATAATCACTCTCGTCATTCTTGCTGTCTTCATCATCATCGTCATCATCACCGTCATATATTTCGTACGCTTCTTCACTTTCTTCATCATTCAATTTTTGTTCATCACTTCCAACACTTTCAGTCGATACTAAATTGCTATAATCACCTGCTTTATGTAACATTGTATTGGTATTAGAATTATCAGCACAAATTGCTAATAAAAGTAAACTGATGGAAAATAAACCGATAAAATACTTCATCATATCAGTAGATTGATATGTGAATGTTTGGATAAAGATAAAATTTGAGAAATTAATGCATTTCAATACATGAGTATTCTCTATTTATAATGCATCATAAATAATAATTGCCACTTACAATTGAATATTAGATACTTAGAGTTGTTACTTATCATTCAGTTTTCTTTTTTTTTATTAAGCTAAGAACACATCTGGTTATTATAAGTGGAAATATTTTCATACTTAATATGGGTCACAACTGGTTTATGTTATTGTCTCTGTACGTTATAACTAAGATTATAAATGTTATTAAAGAAAAAACAAAATGAACTGTATATAACTTTGTCAGCAGCTGCTTTTACGCACTTATGTTCTTTTTTCATATAATTTGAAATGAACTTTCATGGCAACATGAAAGAAAAGGTATTTGTATTCGTCTCATATAATAAACTAAAGTGTTGGTATACAATAGCAATGGTATTGTTATTTTTGTTTGTATTATAGCTGTTGGCATTTTCGAAATTCGAGCAAAACTTTGTTTTTTTATTGATGACATAGCTACATAGAATTGGTTGAATTACCTGTAAAATTTTTGTTGTTGAGTTACTTGAACAATATTTTGGAACGAAAGTTAGATTTAAAAAAAAAAAAGAAAAGTGTATAAAAAAAAGTCGAATACACGCAAAAAGCATTCAGTTTTATTAATCTTTTGTTTCAAATGAAACAACCATTATTTTTAGAATAAATAAAAAAAATCTGCATCGAATGGTATGCTCAATATTTAAAACAATCTTTCGTCAAATTTGGACTGTAGAAGAAAAACAAATTAGATTATTCAAAAACAATAGCGAAGGGATGGAAGAATCGAAATTTGACGAAAATTTGTTTTAAGTATTGAGTTTACTATTCAATGCAGATTTTTCTGTTGATCCTAAATATGATGCTTGTTTCATTTGAAACAAAAACCTAGTAAGACTTTATGTTTTCGGGCGTCTTCGAACTTTTATAAAGATTTCTAACTCATTTTTAAACCTAATTTTCGCTATAAAAATATTGCCTGACTATTTCATAAAAAACATTTTTTTTACAGATAACGTGACGAGCTCTCTCCAATGATACAAAAAGAATATCAAAAAGATGCGTTTTTTTTCGAATTTTGAATCATTGACATCTGACTTTGCACGAAGCAATACTGTAGGCTTCAAAATATTTGTTGGTAAAATTGAATGGTAATAATTTTAAAAGATTAGTGACAAAGAATATGCAACACATCATTGATATCAGACGTTATTTTATCTAAAATGATCATATTTCAACTACTAAACTTGAATGTATGGTTCAAGCAAAAAAGAAAAATTTCTTATTAAAGGCAATTGAATAAGACTAATTGCAATAACACACATTAGCAAGTTTTCATCTAGGTTAATAATGTTTACAAACTCCCCAATGTTCTATATATCATTTTATATATAACTGTATGAATAAATAATAGTCCAGTATTTCATTTTTACGTTTGATGAAAACTTTGATGTTAAACTAACTTTTTAAATAATTAGAATAGTATTTAATTTTTTGATTAATAGGATTTTATCGTAGGTTTCCATGATGTTGGTGCTAAGCGTATCTCCATGGAAATACCGAGGATCGCCCTAGTATATGAGGTACTGATCAAAATTAAAATTTTTGATTTCTTATGCTTATTCGAAACATGATTTTCTAACATCATCAAATACAGATTTCAAACTCACTGTGATGTTTTATAATACAGTCAGTCTTGATTAACTTTTCAGCATTACTCACTTACTATCAAGGAAAAAAAGGATTAATGTTCACGAGGATTATACTTGTATAAGTGAGAGAATTTCTACATGTAGTATACCAAAAGATAGAACATAAACAGCTTAATGTAATAAATATCATGAATTTATTGAACTAACGTGAGTGGAGAAAATCATAAATTAGCAGCCTATAATATTCGATTTGTTAAATTACGAGAAGCCATGCGGAATTTTTTGTCTTTTGTAAATTTGAATTCTTTGTAAAATGGTAAAAAGTATTAACAAGAATATTCATCTTCATAGTAATATGAAGCACTCACTGCCCATAGTCAGGTAAATAACTTCAAGAAAAACAATCTCGGGTACTTTGCAGTATCCTTCATCTATGACGATTATCAATGAATCAAATAGTATAATCATTCATAACGATAGAGCATGGATCGCGAATCACAGACATACAATTGAAGTTCATTATTAGTTATAATTTGATGGTATAGATTTGACCTTTTAATATCATGTAAAATATTCAGCATCGTTTCTTATGGTTTCAAACAGTGGCAGCAAAAGCGAGGTCAAAAATCTCACATTATAGAATTCAATATTTTTGGGAGCTTAATTTTTTTGAGCTGTTGATGCTCTATTTTTTGGTATACCGCATGAAAAACTTCTCTCACTTATGAACGTAAAACCCTAGTAAACATTTTATTCTTCTTTCCTTGGTATTAAATAGGTGATGTTGAAAAGTCGAGCTAGGCTTACTTTACTATAAAATATCTCAATGAGATAAAAATCTAAGATTGATGTTTTTAGACGATGATCTTTCGAATGCATATAAAAAGTCAAGCGCTTAAACATTGACCGGCGTCTCAGCTTCCTCTATGAATATTTTTTTCATTTCTTTTTAGAAACGACTCTTCGAGCGAAAAAAAAAATTACGGTGGATTTCAACACTTATAGAATCTGTTGTTTCATCATTACATGAATATCGATCAAGCCTGCAAAAGCTACCCTTGTGCATCCACATGTATAAGAGAAGATTTTAGAACAAATATTGTTTACACGAAAACTTCTTAATATGAAAAATTAGTTGATACACTTTCTCTTTTGTAGTAATCAACATGTGAAATTTAGATCTCTTTTTCGACATGCATATATCCTATATTATGTTTTGTTTTACGTTGTTATATCTTTCACATATGGGCAGTATTGAAACACTTCGTGTGTTTATGTCACTATTCAGGTTAACTTTTTTTTTCTGATTAGCATAACATGACTGTTTGCCACAAACCACAACGGAACCATCGAAAGCATAGTAACAAATTATTAGACTTGGTTATTCTGCTCACTTTCATTTTCAGCTTCAAATCACTATCCTCAATGTCATTTATCACTTTATTCTTTAGAGTCAGTCGTTCTACCTCGATTTGAGGCAAATAGTCCTAATTGAACCATAAGTAACATCATTTCGATAATTGATGAAACTAATGTATTTTTTTACACAAAGTTATTTTGAGTGCATAGTATCATTATTTTATTTCTCTCTCGATAGTTTTTTAAATATTTAGGGCGTACCAAAAATTCTGATCACAGCCTTTAAAAGACCTTGTCGGATAAGGTGACCTATTCAGAAATAAGAAACAAATGTGTCATGTTGTAGAGCTTTTCGAGGCGCATCGAATGGTATATACTAAATCCTGTTTTCATAAAACTTGGAAGGAACTATAGTCAAGTTACTGATAGACGACTACACATCCACACCTATCCATACTCACATCCATATCCACAAGATGACCGGAGATGCTACGTATATGAGGTTGTAGCCCGTCAAAAGCTCTAAAAAATCGTATGTGAGAAAAATATTTTACAAATACTTTCAATTAACACCAAGAACCACAATAATCAATAACTTATCATACTTGAGTATGGGTGAGGATATGGATGGGTACGGATGTGTAGTCGTTTATCAGTAAATTGACTCTAGTTCCTTCAAAGTTTTATAAAAACAGGATTTACTATATATTATTCGATGTGTCTCGAAAAGCTTTACAACATAATACATTTGTTTCTTATTTCTGAATAGATCACCTTAGCCGACAAGGTCTTTTAAACAACGTGGTCAGAATTTTTGGTACACTCTAAGTACATATTTTTTTTTCTATGAATCATTTTATTTTGATGATAAAGTTTTTTGTGCTAAATATCAAAATATATTAAACACATAGTTCCTATGATCATATTATACTAATGGATTGTATCATATTATATTTTTACAGTTACTTAAAAAAGAGAAATACAATAGCAAAACATACAATGAATATCGCTTGAGTACAAAATAATATGCAATATGCTCCAAAATAAAAATAACTAACACAGGTGTAACGAATAAAGACATATTCGCACTGACAAGTTCGTTTAATGATTTTTTTGCTAAATTCTACTAATTTTTTGTTTTTATTTAATTTGATAATGTTAAATTAACACCCATTACTTTAAGTTTGTCTTCATTACGTTTATAAATATCTCGTAAATCTGAATGATGATGTTCACGATCACATCCAATTGAAAAATTAGCTGTATGCATTCGATGTAAATGTGATATGATTGGTATATAAACATTTAAATGTCCATGAATTAAAAATCTTACATAAAGATCAAGATCTTCTGCCATACCAACTGATTCATCATAACCACCAACTTCATCATAAAGTTTTCTACTAAAGCAAACATTACCTAAAAAATTCAACAACAAATTAAGATGAGCACAATTGTTTTTCTTTTAATAATCTTTTTCAAAAAAAAAGAATGTTGATGGTTGTATTTTTGAATAACTTTTGGTAGGGAGGACGAGAAAGAAAGCTGCGGTTTTCATCATTCACGAGAGAACATTCGAGTACATCGAAGTGATTCAATATCTGATTTATCAGCAATTGACTAATCAAGTGAGTTTTTAGCGAAGATGTTCAAAACGAGACTTTGAGATTATTTCTCATTAGTTTTGGACATTTAAGGCGGTCAATCGGTAACGAATATTTTTCTCTTTTAATCTATGTAAATCCTAAGTTCATCAGCACTTCTTTTCAAAAGTCACAAAGGTTTTTCTGATATTCCCTTCCAGATTTCAGCAAGTTGAGTAGAATAATAATATTTGTTTTTTGTTTGAAAGTGGCCTGATACTGTACAGACGAAATTTTTGGAATCTCAAAAATACTGAGACAGTGGTTTCAGGCCGGTTTAAATCTGAAAAAAATATTTCCATTCAACTCAGCATGATGAATTATTTCAGTCTCGAGCTCTTTTCGAGCCTGTCAAGGTCATCCTGTTGAAATCTGTAGTTTCAAGAAAACCTTTGTAACTCTTGTACGACAACGATTACGAAGTTGAGATTGACATAGATTGAAAGAAAAAATTTTTCCTATCAATTGGTTATTTTTACACGTCAGAATCTAATTGAAAATAATTTCACGATGTTCTTCTCAAAATCTTTTGGTAAGAACTCATCTGATTTGATTACTTGTTGACTAATCAAATTTTGGCTTACTTTGATAGCCTCCTGTGTTGTCTCTTGAATGCAGAAAATCTCATTGTTTTTCATTTTTCTATCAAGAGTTATTTAAAAACTGAATACCAAGAATTGTTTTTTGTTGAAATAAATAATATTACCTTGAATAAAATGACAACTATCAAAAATAGCTTGAAGCATTTCTTGTGGCGATGAAAAAACCCATCCATAATAATCTTCTTTTAGCATATATTGGAGATGCTCATTAACACGAAGAAAATCCGAAACAAAAAATTTTTTTGTTGGATTATGTAAAATAGCTTCTGCAAAATGATGAATTGTACGTTGAAGAAAAACATCATCATCATCCTAAACATAAAATTTTTATTAAAAAAAATTTTTTTTTTTCTTCAATTATTTTTACATACTAATACACAAATAAATTGTCCAGTACTTTTTTGTATACAAATATTTCGTGCTTGACTCGGTGGTACTTTATGTTCTGATCGTATAAATAGAATATTATTAGGTAATTCACCTTTACCATCTTTACGTAAATCTTCTGTTGCTTGAATCCATTGTCGATCTTTTGTTGGTTCTTTATTATCACCTTGATCTTTAATATAAAAAATATTTTCAGGTGGTAAATTTGAAATAAAATATTCTTTTGTGCCGTCAGTTGAACCACAATCATGAATAACATGTTCAAATTCAATATCGAGAGGTGCAAGTACATTAATTTGAACAGATATAACAGCTTGTTTTAAATATTCTAATCGATTATGGCTTGGTGTAACAACAGAAATTTTTAATTTTCGACCGTTTAATTGATTCATTTTCAGTAAAAACCAAGTAAGAATAATAAATGAGAAATATAAAAGAACATGTAATGTGTGTTACTCTATTTATACCAAATGACTGGCAACGAGGGGCAAGTAAGTGCATTTTAATGTTGTTTAGTCGTCATTATTTCTCTTCACGTGTACCATACACGTGATGTCTGCATAAGAATCATTGATGTGCTGATGTTAATGTACTCTCGTGTTTTTACTGTTTGACTCATAATTTTTGGATAAATTATGAAATAGTTTAAATGAAATGAATAAATTCATAAATATTTTCACTAGAAAATTAATTCTGCACCACGTTTGTACTACATCGTCATGCATTATCACGTGTTCTTTTACTCTGCCAATAAAAACTTAGTGCAAAAATGTAGTAAAAGTGCATATAGTACTAGTATAAGTCATGGAATGAATTTTCACCAATTTTTTGCATCGATAGTACATAAATTAATTTCAATATTTATTAGCAAGAAACTCATTGTTCTGCTCATATGTTTCGTCATATTTTCATTATTGTTATCTTTTACTGTTAATTTTAATATGATTCGTCGAGTATAACTCACCGTAGACAGTCAAGTAGATATGTGATTAAAAAAATAGAAGTGTACTCTCTTGAATTTGAATAACGGTCTACAATATTTTAATTCATTAACAATTCAATAAAATAAAAGATATGTTTCCGTTCTTCAGTTTATGAGGAAAATCTTGATTACAAATTAAGATATTTTTAATGACATAGAAATTAAGGAATTCATTTTTTTCGAGATGTTTTTTTTATCTCTTTTCTGTATGACAAGAGTTATCCAAAAAACGCCTTGCTCATAAGCACTTTTAGACAAAATTAGCAATAGATATAAAATGAGCGTAAGAAACTACATCGAAAAATAGATAGTTTTATAGTTTTCTAAAGTATAAATTTTTTCGATGAAGAGGAGAGAATCGTTAAGTGATGGAATGAGTTCCTTGTCGAAGTTGTAGTTTTATTGTTCTACTAGTAAATCTAGATAGAAAAAGTCGATGGCAACTGAAATTAAACAGTTGATCTTCATTCCGACAGTGCGATGATTGATTCAAAACTCGATATTATCTATCTCCTACCGCATCATATTATGCACTATTTATGTGGAACTTTTTTCTTTGGTCTTTCACTCTTTCAATTTTAATTAAAAAATAAATAGAAGCCCTTTCTTCTATCGAAGGTGAATAAGAAGTATGACAAAATATTGTTTTTTTTTTACTTTTTCCTTTAGCTTACATTGTATATTGGTATTACCAATATGAATATGCCCAGAACGAAATATCTTGTCTGTTGTGCTATGAAAGCAGCGATCAATTTTGACTTATAAATCCTTCGATAGCTCTTTCAAAGATCTATCAAATAGTACTATTGGACTGGAATGCACTACTTTATTGAGACATATAGTGCTCGTTAGTTTCAAAAGGTTTCCTTACAGACTACTATTTGATTGATTTTAGTCAAAATAGTTAAACTTTCTAATCAAGTAACGCTGTACTGGAGACCAACATAAAAAACTGAGTAGATCGGAATGTGCCGCACAAGATTTAGAAAACTTTTATTTTCATCTGCAAATTCAATTTTGATTCTTCTCATGGTGGCGTCAAACAATAAAGTCGGTCCAAATGTAAGTTTCGTCGTGAAAAGCATCTTCTAAATGTCGAAAAACATGAATAAATAATGAAAACGATATTTTAAGTCATTTGATTTATTGATGTCACTCTGAGAAAGGCCAGGACTGAATATTCGGATGAAAATAAAAATTGTCGAAGAGTTTTCTTTTAAATATAGATCGACTCAACTGTTTATGCTGATTTCATATATATACTGGCTTTTTTTTGAGTAAGAAAGTGTAATCTTTGAGAGGGTTATCGCATTATTTATAATTCCTAATATTAGCTATAGAAAAAGAAAAGAAAAATATTGTGTCATACTCTTTATTGGCATTCGATTGAGAAACTTTTCATATCTATTGTGCATAGTATGGCACTTTGAAAGATCAATAATATCGAGCTTTGAGTCAACCATTGTGCAACTGGAATGAGATCTAACTGTTTAATTCGACCTGATCTTGATTTCTGCTATTGGATTTGGCAATTAGGACAATGTGAGGCGCAGTATCGACAGGGAATCACTGTAGATGTTGAACAATACCGTTCTTGAGTAAGAGCTTCCTCAGAAGTTTTCTGGGAGAAAATTTATTATTTTTGAATTTCATTGTTTGTTTATTTCTTTCTGTATAATAGAAACTAAGAGTATCATGGAAAAAAATCTAATTTTCACATAAAGTAAGTCGTGTTCATGTACTCTATATGAATTACTCACTATGTTACCTCCATTAAGTATTAATAACGTGACTTCAACAAGGTATAGTCATCATTTTACTATTATGAGATTTAGATGAAAATGCTTTTTGATAGATTTGCCATGTTTTATCCATATCTTAAAAATGAAATTCATCTCAATGAACTTTTCAATTATTTATTTTTCTGAATTCATTATTAACTTTTTCTAATGGCAGCAAAAGTTAAAAGTAAAGTTGTTATTGAATTGGCTAAATATTCATTATACATATAATAGTGTCCTCTAGTGATATAAACACTTCTACAAGTATTTTGTGTAAATTCCTGTGAAAGACGTGATTAATTCACACTATCATCAGTTGTTAAAGTTGTTGGCTGTTTCCAGAATACACAAAAAAAAACAATTCGTTATTGAATAGAGTCACAATATGTTAGGCAATTAGTCAGTATTTAAAGCATCTATTATAAATTAATGTTCGATTAAAATCCAACTATTGCTTTATAATTCCGCTAATATCACGAAACATGCAATTCATCGAAAAGAAAACCCCTATGAAACGCATCAAAAAGAAGACATTAGAGTACATTCATATATGTATGTACATAATAATATTTTGTTTCCATTTGGTTATATTCAATGCAGTGTGTTTCAATCTTCGTACGTTTTTTCTTTGCAAGCATGATTTCGTCACTCACAATGACGAGAACTGAATTTTCTTATCATCGACAAAGTCGGTTTCATAGATCGTTGCAATCAATGAATTATCATGGCGACATCGTAAATTCAACCGTATCTTCTACAGATAAAAAGCAAACATCGAACAATTGTCCATTACATCCAATTAATATCGATATAGCACAGAAAAAACTTGAGAATGATGATGAAAGACAAAATAACACTAGGATAACAATTACTTCGTTTTGGAAGCAAATCATAGTAAAAACTGATGGTGTCCACAATAATAGTGAAGCTGATGAAATAAATGATAATTCCGTATCATTCATATCATTGAATACAATTCAAGTAATATTCACTATTCCTTTTTCTATAATTTCAAATGGATCGATACTTAATCAAACAGTATCTATAACTGATATAAAATCTAACCAATTATTAGCATCATCAAATCATATTTGTTTCAATGGGTCATCATTTATTGTTAATTATTCAACTAACCAATCATTACCATATAATATTTGTTTATATATTTTAATATCATCTATAACATTAAGAGAAATCTTTATTTGTCGTACTATTAATAATAATTCTGATGGTAATGAAAATCCGATCGTAGGACCAAGTGTATTTTTTATTGTTTCACAATCTGTTATGAGTCTTCTTATGATGATTATTATCTACTTAGTACAAATAAGTAGAAAGAAAAATCTAATTAATCGTGTTGGTCAACATTTTGTTCGCAATAATTTAATTACTCATAAAAGTAGTATTATTCTATTGAATGATGCAATAAATTCGGAAATTATGCATGATATTAATTTAAATAATTTTATTTCAGCACCTATTGAAGAAAAAGTATTAGCTGCAACAGATTTAACATCAACACGTAATGATCGAAGATTTACACATCATACATTAATAGATATGAAAGAATTAATAAAACAATTAAGTTTATCGAATAAAAATTGAGAAACTCGTGTTTCTTTATAAAAAAATTATGCTTCTTTTGAAACTAATATTTCATTTATACGAACATCCTCTGAATCCATTGGTATACTATTATTTTCAAGAATTTGTTGACGATATGCTAATCCAATAGTATAAAACTTTCCATTTAATGAATTTAAATATTTATCATAATAACCTTTACCATGTCCAAGACGTGAACCATCTAATGAAAATCCTAAACCAGGTACAATAATAAGATCAATATTATTAGTTGCTATTTCACGATTTTTATCATCTAAAGATGGTTGTCGAATATTCCATTTTGTGACAGGTAATGAATCAAGATCATCTAATGAATAAATACGTACCATATCCATTGATGTTAAATCATAACGTGGTACGAAAACATGTTTATCAGATTGGAATGCATGTTGAATTATATCACGAGTGGATATTTCAGTATTCATATGAACATAAATAGATATTGCACGAGATGATTGATATTTTGGATGATGTAGAAGATAATTAGTAACTATATTCGATTGATAGATACGATCTTCATTAGACATTGTTTTGAGTACATGACGCAATTTTTGACGAAGAATTTGTTTTGCTGCTTGAGTCATTATGTTGAATTGTCAATAGACGAACAAAAAGAAATGAACAAAATGTTTTCAAGTTTTTTGGAATGTTTTCTACAATGAGATATTAAATAATGAATAATATTTTATTGTATTAATAAAAACAACAATTATTCATATGTATTTTTATTCAATCAAAGTTTAGATACATAAGTTTTAAGATGTTGATGAGATAGAGAAAATTATCACCTCCTGTAATTCCGTTTAATAGAAATCGGGAATACTGAGACATTTATATAATAAAAGAAAAAAAAAAACAAGGGAAAAATTGTTTTTATATCTGCTTGTCCATGATATGAAGAGTTATTTAAAACTCAAAAAATGTCCATTACTAATAATCTTAAAGTAGAACTAATTAATAATTATAGACTTATATGAATTTTAATCAAAACCATTTAACACTAAAACTCTAAACAAGCGGAATTTTTAAGTTCGATCTAAAGAATGATATTAAAATCAGATTAATTCGTGATATCTGTTCATTTGATAATTCTTTAACTGGTTATTTATGTTGACGCCAACCAAGTACTCTCTGTGTATAAAAGTATTTTAATGCATTGTCTTTTTAATAACTACAGAGCAAAAATAATCAGAAATCTTTAATTTTTCTTATTCAAAAGAGCACAGTGACATGTGTGAACCTATGTCAAAATTCATGGATTTGTTCATGAAAGTACTCAGCACATGTGTCTTCAAGTTTAGCTGAAAGTTATAGTAAAATGTTTCTATTTCTGATGTTTAATCTAAGAAGAGAATTGATTCAATATTTAGATATACACTTCACGTTGCCGCTTCATTAATTGAATTCTACAAAATAAAATGTTATAGTTGTTCTTTTTAAAAGAAGCGGATTCCTTTTAATAAAAAAGATGAAGCTTATCGTAATTGTTTTGGATCATATCATTATAAAATTTGACTCCCTTCTCTCCTGAAATAAGAACATCGAAATCTCTTGTTATGCATGAGCGATGAAGAAAAACATACTTTTACCATAGCTGTATTTTAACATGAGAACAACGCAGGATCGAAAACGTTCACAAGAAACTATTCTCTTTCAGGCTTGCTTCTCTGCAAAGTTTTAAGTAGGAATTTGAAAATCAGTTTTTCTGAGAGACACTATGGTATTGATTTAAAAACTACGGTAAAAAAATATGATATCTCCACAGCAATAAGCTAAGGGTTTAAATTTTTTTCAGTGTATTCATAGCTTATTTCTTTCTACATAGTGTGCGTAGTCTCAGCACAGAAGTGATTTCTTAGTTGCAGAAATTGCCTTATTCGTCAAAAGAAAACTTGGGATACTTTTGTTAATAATAGACAAATAGATTAGTTAAGAAGAATATTAACTTGATTTTATAATATCTAAATTAATACTAATTAATATATTTTGAATTTTTTTCATATTAATCAATCCATCAACTTAACTGTTAAATTTCATTAAAACTTCAATAAAACATCAAATATTTATAACCGTTCTAAGAATTTTCTTCAACACAATAACTCTAACTTTATAAACAATGAATATCTTGATTGTATTCTTTTATCTTTGAAACTTAATATACAAACATATGACAATCAAAAAACAAACGAATCACAAAACAAAAATCGGTACTAAGTATCATTCAGCCAATTTAGAAACATCTTCATAAACCATATTTTCAATTCGAGTACCAATCATTGAACCCTAAAATAAACTATTTGAATTCTAATCATAATAAATATTATTTAAAATCTAACTGTTAGTAAAGTAATATCAACAGAAAATGTATCTTGATGAATCTCTTCTAAAGTTGCCTGTTGTCCACGATATGCACCATTAACAACTAATACTTTTTTACCAATAGCTGGTATAACTGTTTCAACATGAGCTTGATCAATACGAATTTTATCATTTGTATCAATCATTTTAATAATAGCTTGATAACGATTTTCAACTTTTGTAACGATGCCTTTCTTTTTATAATATTTTTCACCAAGTTTTAATGTTATTACTTTAACAATTATACCCTTCAAAAATAATCAAGAAATATTTTTCTTTAAAATTAAAAATTCTTTTACTTCATGTAACCAATAATCTTTACGATTTTTTTCTTCTTTCAATTTTTCTTCCATCTAAAATAAATTTTTTAATTTCTATTATTAAACAAAAAAAATTAAAACAAAAAGAAATTACTTCTCGAACTTCTTCAAGTGCTGTTTTCTTTGGTAAAGGTGTCTTAAAAACAGATTCATCTGTACTTTCTATTTTAGGTTTTTTCACATCTATTTCATCAGTACTATTCGTTCGTTTTTTACTAGTTGTTACAAGTACAGATGGACTAAAAGAAAAATTCTTATTGATAAAATTTAATAACAATACATCGTCTTACGGCAGAATTTTTTTCTTTTCAGCAATTACACTTTGATTAAATGATACTTGAACTAAAAAAAAATACAATAGTGAAGAATGAGATAAATAATTTCACATATACCTTTTTCTTCTTCATCTTTTCGTACAAGTTCAGTATAGACTGGAGCAGATACTTCAATACCTTTTTCTTTATCTCTTTTTATCTAAACAGAAAAAATAAAGTAAACGAAAACCAAAAAGGGGTTTTAACTAACTTGTTCAGCAATTAATTTTTGTCTTCGTTGTTCATCATCTAAATCCATTTTTTCTTTTCGTTCAGTTTCCATTTCACGTCTTACAGCATCAGGATCTTTATCAATTAATGTTATATACCATCCTCTTTCAGTTTGTTCAATTTCACAAAGACCTATTGTACAAAATATATTGAACTAATCGATTGAAATTAATTATTTTACCTTGACTTCCAAGCCAACGAACATAACCTGCTAATGCAACCCAACGTGTAGCATTCATATGAATATGATCACGATCTTTAATATATTCACAATAGACTGTATTGGCTAGAACACGTTTTGTGCCGAATGAACGACGTAATGTGCTGAAAAAGCCACTATGAAATTCACTAAACACAAAAAGAAATCTTTGTTTTGATTTTGTGAAATATCAAATATTTTTTTATTTACCGTGAATAATTGGCAATGTGTTTGCCAGGATTTTCGCCGACAAGTAATAATTGTCGTTGATGTGATTCACTTTGTATATGACACTTAAATCCATTCTATTGAAATAGATTAAAAAAAAAAGAACGATTCATTTTAACTTGTTAGTTTTTTTAATTAAATTATTGAATTCCATTTGATCATATATTTGTAGTTTAAAATCAATGTAAGACTAATTGAATAAGAGTTTTCTTTCACGAAAAAGAAAAGAATTTGAATGATATTTGTTAATACTAGAGAATAGAATTATGCTTTTCTATTTATATTACAAAATATTACCTCATCCCGACATTGTTTTTGACACGATTGACAATACCATCGTAATTTTTGTAAACCTTTTGCTTTTATTCGATTACTAATGGCTTTTGGTGTTAAAAATCCACCGTTTTTACCCATGGCTTTATTTCAAATTATCTACACAAAGACAAAAAACAAAAATTTCAATTTGAATTCTTAAGAAGAATTATCTTTTCAATCAAATATTAAATATCATAGAAAAATAGATCAAGTTTGGTCTAATAGGATTTCATTATAATGCTATTCTTGATTCAAAGAATAATTTAATTACAATAATCTCTCTTAAACATATGGATAATTACAAATATGTGTAAGAAAGTTTCTTTTAAACTACTAAACTTATTTATATTTCACAAAATATTATTTATATCTATTATATATTTATTTATTTTCACATTGTCTGTAAAATGATACCTTTAGTAAAAATAGGCTATTTAATGAACCAATCAATGCATGCAATAAATAATACAATGAGTCGACGATTTATGATTCATAAACATAACATAACGCTATAATATGGTACAGCATGGAGCTTTTTTTTTATTCTAATAAAAAACCAACGATGAAAGATGTCACTACATTAAAGATTATTAATGACCATTCTGAAGCAAATAAACAGTATCAAGGAGGTCCTGAGCATAGTGAACGATTTCTATAAAGATGATGAACTTGTACAAGCAATGCAACACTTTTCTGATCAAGGTTTTGAAAATTTTTTCGAATTTGACATTTGTTACTTTTGAAAAAATTGGACTTTTAGTATCGAAAACAGAATTTGAAACTTTTCAAAAATCGTATTTGGAATTTTCTAACCAAGAAATTTTTCCAAAACAAAAAATTCTCAATGACATACTATTCGATACAGAATCTAACTCTTTAAAAATTGGTCTATTCATTTTTTTACTTTCGTTACTAAGAACAACTTGTACATTCCTATACAGTAACCAACTTACGGTACAGTTAATGAGCTTCTATTTTGATGGAGTATTAGTAAAATACGCTCTGAGCCACTCTGCATTATTCTGAACCATTCTAGATCACTCTGACCTAATTCTAATTGAGATAATATGTGTGTAGGAGCAAGAAATCTATTGAAGACACTCTTCAATGTATTCGAACTTATTTCATATAGGATCGTGTGCATAACTACTATAACCATTTATCGTAGGTTTTTTTCCTATCATAATAAAGCATCTTGATTAAAAAAGAAACTATTGAGTGACATGTTTTATTAGATCTCACTTTTTTCTACTCCTTTTTCTTCCTTTTTCTGTTGGGTTTTACTTTTATATTTACATTCTTTTCATCTTTTAGCTCGGGTATTATTATTATAATAGGGACAAATAAAATGATTCTTTGTGTTCATATGTATACGTGTGACATGAAACGGTCGGCAAAGTTGAGTATGGTATGTTATTTTCGTTTTGCTTTGCTTTCTTGTTTGATATTCGTGCACGAAGTTTTCGTGATTTCTGGCCTTCAGATGGAGTGATACTGGAATCGATGACTCCGAAATGATCTGTTACGGTACCCATATAGGGGTTGTAAGCACTTCTATACGGTTAAAATCTAGTAATGTTTGGCTTGCAAACAGTGGCCATCAGCAGTACACTGTATTAGGATACACAACGAGCTGTAAATGATGTTTGTCCTCGTTGCTATTTATACGTGTTGTATAGGGTTATCGTATCTATGCCGTATTGACATGGTAACAGTGAGCAATTTTCAATCTGTAATTATGTCTAGTTCCCAATTAGAATGAAGAGTAGAAGTAGGCTTCCCTCTGTCTCCCAAAATTTCAGACTTCGTGCTATAATATTTGGTAATAATCTCTGCGAAGTCTTTAAAGTTGAGTTCAGCAGAAAACCCCTGCATCTACTGAAATAGAATTAAAATCAAAGATACTTTCTATAAAATTTCCCGTAGAAAGACAAAATTACGTTCTCCGACAATATATTCTACCCAGTTTGTTCAAAACTGAATGTGGAATTTAATAGAGAAAAAAAAAATTATCTAATGCAATGAACACAGCAAAGTCATAGAAATTCTTTCAATAGTCATTTCAAGCTATTTCTACAGAACACGTTTTAGTACCGTTCGGAGATTTACGCATCGTTGAAAAATAAAATGTGATAGAATTCTTTTGAAATCACCATTTATTAAACTATAATGTAAAATTCATTAGGAAGGCACACAGAATCGAGCGAGCAAACTACGTAATTGTATTGGCAAGTCGTACTAACTGGATGAGTGTCATCGCTAGAACGTGCCCTTAAACAAATTTATTCAGAAATTACTAAATGATTTAAGTTTATTCTGTCATAAAAAAAGAAGAACATGCATGTGTAATATTTTTCTGACGATTCTTTTAAATATGTAACAAGTATGTCCTAAAATTTATTGACTTTTATTGAAAATATAATTCATTTTATTAGAACACGTCTTTATTCGCCATGAACCTATACAATTTTGAGTCGGTTCTATGGCAAAACCATATCTATTAGAATTTTCTTTATGTATTTTAAATAATATCAAGAAACTAAAAGAATGTATTCAATAAAAGTCGTTGAATATCTGCTTACACTATTAAAAACCTCTGATAAAATATTTGTTTTTCCTATGTAACCTAATTATCGAATCAAATTGACGCATGATAAAAGTAATATACGCAAAATGAGTAATGTTTTATTCACATAATGACGTGCTCGTATGACGAAAACTAATTGGTAATGGTTCATTGCCTTTCGATGTTCTATTTAAATTGATTCTTTATAGACCTATTAATACAACATACATACACATTGTAAACTTATTCTTATTGAAACTAGTCCTACATACTTCTGCATAAGGTAAACAAGTTTTGTATTTTTTTAATTACTTCGAATAAAAATGATGTATTTGTTGATTATTATTAACACGCGTTTAGTAGGCATCCTGAGTTAATGTTATTATCTTTATTAAAGACAAGAATTATTTTACAGCAAGAAGATTACTATCATTGAGCTCACTATGATGGAAAACAAATTAATTACTTTGAGTTTCTGCTCTGAATAAGTTAGAGTTCAAAATGAATAGATATTCATAAAAAGAATCTTTTGATTTCAAATAGGGATTCAAATAATTTTCATTCTTATTGAACGAGGACTGATAAAAGATTGATAAGTAGAAAACAGAATAGATACAAGATTGATCCGAAACAAATGAAGTAGAATAATTTTGAAAAATCTTCTTTTCCAATTTGAATCGGGGAGAAAATTTTGAAAAGATTCTTCAACCTCAGAATAAGTTAATTCACATAACACTTATGAAAAACTCTATTTGCAATTTAAATTACAAAAGTGTAGCATTACGCGAAAAACATTTATAAGAACAGATCAATACAATGTCGATTTAAAATCGCAAAATCTCAAGAATAATAGGATATACATTTGAAGGTGAGTTTTCGCTTCGTTATTTCGATGGAATGTACTTTCTAAGACCAAGTATATTCGAACATATAAATATTATTGTGAATGATATTATGAAGAATATGATTTTTTAGCAACCCAGAAAAACGTAATTTAGTTCTGTAAAACTCATATGGATTTTGAAAGTATTAGAGATGCCAAAATGTTGAAAAGATAGACTTGTAGATAACCGAGGAGCATAAAAGTTTGAGAAGTTGTGGAGCTGCAAAGGTGTTTGACGTATTCGAAATCTAATAAGAAACTAGCAGAACTGATATTCACCATTTGAACTCGTATTATGTTCACAAGAATGTTTCGTTAATACTAGAATTAATCTAAAAAAAGTTCGTATTCACGAGTTCCTGAAGCTGAGTTATGATCGATTTACTGAAATTTCAATTGAGCTTTAGGTATTTATCGACAAATCAAACAACAATATTCTGTTCTGCTATTTCATCCATCACGAAGTCGAATAAGTAGTAGAATCTCCTGAAATTTTCAACCGAAACACATATTTCTTTGCCAAGACATTTAGTTTTCCAAAAATAGTTGTGTGACACAAAAATTCAATGTCTTGACCTAGGAACATTCTTTTCGGTGAAAACTTTCAGAATAATTTACTAATCATTAAACCTATTTATGCGTGAAATTTCATATCGAAATATCACTATTTAATTTTTCGATATATACCTAAAGCTGAATCGAAAATTCAGTAAAACGATCATAACTTGGCTTAAGAGGCTCATAGGTAAAAATTCTTTTGAGACTTTTCTATCTTACTGACACCTTGTGTGAACTCAATATGTGTTCAAACGGTGAATGTAGGCTCAAGCAGTTCTCTGAGAAGAATAGAAATGCAGGAGCGTTAAACAGAGAAAGAAAACAGACTACAAGGTGTACTCAAATGCGACTATGAGTTGCTACTCTGTGAGGCAGCGTTTTACTCCTGCCAAGGAACTTTCATAGATAATCTCTTTTGATTTCAATGATATTTTTGCCTATCAATACTACATATAATTCTATTAAAAGCTCTAAAATGAATTGAGTTCCTATTGAGGTTTGGAAAAGCTATTCATTTTTTAATATGGCTACTTGTCAGAAGTCGTGCATGACATCAGATTTTTAGAAAAATCGTATTTTTAAATTTTATCTTGAAACTATCTCATTTCAAAGTCTTTCATAGAATAGCTTGTATAAGACGTTAACATAGAGTTCGTTTCAATACAACATTCGGAAACACGGCTTTCTGAAAACTTGATGTACTATCAGGGTGTCTAATAAATAGACAGATTCATCCATCCTATATGCGATTTCTTTATTGACATCTTTTAATCATTATATACTTGATGAATAACTTATCGACTATTATTTATTCTCATATTTTATTTCTGTTATTAGATATGCACTACTCAAATTGTTTATCCATTTTAATTGTATCCAGTATTGTAATTCTGGGAAAATGGAGTAATGCAAGAGTGATCTTTGATAATGAATATCGTGACAATTTAGAAGAAGAAGATAAAACTTTATTAAAGCAGTTCAATAAACGGCACGTAAAACGTCAAACTAGTAAGTAAAGATATTATCAATTTGTATTGCTTTAAATGATTCGATAAAAGATAAGCTATCCAAAAAACACAAAAAAATGAATGTATATTAATTAGGAGAATAGAGAACTTTATTCATAGTTTCATTTTCATGATAATTGTTGAACGATATATATCATCGTTTATCTCCTTCGTTTCTTATCGTAAGTGTTATAATGCCAAAACGTTATTTATTCCGGACTAACCAAGTTGATTTCTATGAATTTTCGTAGCTCAATACTATGGGTTCATTGATTGGCTAATGCCATGTATAGCTTCGAAAGTCCAAGTATAAAAAAAAAGAACTCTGCTGAAAATATCTCGAATTTCATCTGCAATCACTCTGAAAGAAATAAACATAGGAGGTTTTCCCTGCGCCAAGTTCAATAATACTGTTTGATTGCAGTTTCAAAGCATTTTGGGTGTAGATTGATTAGATTTGAAAGCCTTGACGACAAATGCTATACTTACAGTTTGTAAGATTTTAAAATGTTCATCTACCACTTCAAACATGCTTTCAAACTGCGATCAAATATCATCCGTCTATTTTAATTAATGAAAGATTTTGTGTGAGTGGATTCAAATCACAGGATCTAAAAGTTGCCGAAAAAAAGCTGATATCTGCGAATGAAATATATAGAATCAAACGGTGTAATTCATGCCGAAAAGACGACTATAGCATTTCGATGATTTTTGATTACATGAAGGGATACATTTAGATATGCAGAGAAACATGCTCTCTGTCTAATTATGTGTGCAATATCAGGCCTTATCGCGCACTGTTGATATGCCCTTCCCTAACGTCACCCAAGGACGCATCAACAGTATGCAGTTGAAGCGGTACAACTTGATACTACTTATATCACTAAATACATATAAAGTCTTGCTCTACGAGTCTAAATATATCCTGTTCTATAGTCCATACCTTATACCTGTCTTTCACTAATTTATCCTCAAAAATTAAAGAAATTATACCCGAAAAATTACACAATATATTATATACTTAATTTTATTTAATTATTTACATATCTTTTTACAGTTTGTCCAACGCCGTATCATGTTCTCACTGCAGATAATCGATGTGTTTGGAGTTGTGGTCAAGGTACACAACCAGATAC